CATGGCATAGATAGATATTACTTAACAAAATACACAAAGGGGTCCATTTTTGGTGGTTGGTAAGAAAATGCAATTGAAAGGTAAGTAATAATCCAGTGCGGACAAACTCATAGTAGTACACATAGAGAGAGTCAAACCAAAGTCAACCAACTCAATTGATCCGACGGCAGATAGTGATTCCATCACCAACAGGAAGCATACAGATCTCAATCCGAGGGTCAGCAGCAAGAGCTTTGTTAAGCTCAATCACAAAATCTCTGTAATAACGAACGTATTTTCTCATCGGTGCATCTGGTGGTGCCACGACTGATCCGTTCCACAGAGTGTTGTCGTAGCCGATCACTCCTCCAATCTTCACTAGATCAATCAATCGTTTGTGGTAGTTGATGTAGTTGTCTTTATCAGCATCAACGAATATAAAATCATATGTTCCATGGTTCTTCTCCTGCACCCAACCACACACAATCAAAACCTTAGAGAGAAAAAAATCCTACATTTCTTATATCAAAATGGAAATAAATGTGCATATTACAGAAAATCAACCTAATATTACTTAATTAGGTTTGATTTTCTTTCACTACATCATTATCTTCAAACATTTTAATTTGGAAGATAAAGAAGGAGAGGAGTGAGATCATGCTTACGTCAGCAACGAGTTCATCAAGAACAGGAAGAGCAGGGCCTTCCCTGAAATCGATCTTGTGAGCAACACCGGCTTTTTCGATGATCGGTAAACCCAATTCGTAGTTCTCTCTGTTAACGTCCATAGCAAGAATCTGAAGATAAAAATATCAAAATTTTCAATTCTGATTTCGTTTTTTTCAATAACCAGATATACAAAAAACAGAGGAAGGAGTTTTTTTTTTTTTACTTTGCCGTCTTCAGGGAGAGCAAGAGCGGTAGCGAGAAGAGAGTAACCAGTGTAAACTCCGATCTCCATTGTGTTCTTAGCATTAACAAGCTTGATTAACATGTTCAGAAACTGTCCTTCATCAGCTGATGTTGTCATTATGTTCCTGTGTTTTTTTTTTGTTTTTCGGACCAGAAGTTAGTTTCAATGTTCGATTTGAAAAACAGAGGATTAGGGATTGATTAAAACAAACCAAGGGTGTTTTGCAGTGACTTCTCTGAGTTCTTTCATTGATTCTGGTTCTCTTGGATACACACTTGTCTCCAGTATATACTGTAATTATGGATTGGTTTTAAAACAAGATTAGATTATTTGAATCAAATTATTAATAAAAAAAAAACAGATTTTGAGAGAGAGAAAGACCTGGTAAAGCTCGTCGCTTTGTAAGAGACTCTTGTGACCGACTTCTTGATGTCGGAGATTCTGAGATTGTTGTTCTTCTCCATTAGTAGATGTCTTCTTTGTCTCTGTAGCTGTGGTCGCCATTTTCTCTCTTTCGCTTGTGT